CAGTCCTCGAATAGACGTAAAATGGTCGAGCTGGTCAGCTTGGTCGGACTGTTCAGCAACCTGCGGTGAAGCGGTCCAGAAACGCCAACGATACTGCGAAAATGCTAAACCGTATCCCGATAAAGGTTGTGAAGGAAATCTATATGAGACGAGAAGCTGTTCTTTGGCTGAGTGTACAGGTAAGGATAAATGGAGACAGTCGAAGAGTGCAGTTTCCTACAAAGTCAGAGGTTTCGCTGTGGAGGAAGAGGAGCCATCGGGGACAGGTCTCTGGTGGTGAACCACTGAAACCAAAAATCTTTCGCTCCTATCCCAGGAATTCTTTTGGGACAGTGGAAAGGAAGATGTGTCCGAAATTGCTCTCTGACAATATTTGGGAGTTCGAAAACAGCAAAATTGATTTTTATTGCAGATGAGATGTCCAAACGCACGAATCTCGGGAACTGTACCTGCGGCTGCGAAATGGTTGGGCCATCCGGATTCTTCTTTGCAACGGCCGCGTAAGGAGTTTATCACTATTTATTATTCCTTCCTTTTCCGCCCACATTTCTTCAATCATTTTTTTAGTTTTTCTTGAATTCATTTTTTTGAACAACGGTTTATTTGTCCCTCCAATCATATATTGATGTCTCATTCCTTGACGTAATTAGAGAGTGACAGCTTGCCGATTGATGTATGAAGTAATCGAATTGGCATATAGTCGTCCTCTCACGACCTAGTCGGCGGACAGCAGGGCACATCAGATGTATGAGGGAAATTAGTCGTTCAGCACGATCTCTTTTGTTGCTTCTATACATAGTTAGGGACCTGCGTTTAACCCACCTCAAATCCGAACAGAGACTTTGAAAAAATAGCTTTCAGGCAGTAGATTCAACTCCTGGACACGATGTCACACCCGTTTTGTACCAAGTGGATGCGGTAAGCGTGTTCAGGCAGTCGGTTACCTACGGAGCGAATTTCAAGACAAAGAAAGTTCTTACGTGAACTTCGGAAACTCGGGCAGTGAAGGTTATACTTGTGAGGATTAATTGACCACGCTTAGAATCTTGAAGTAATTTCCATACAAAACTCACTCTATATGTAATTAATGTAATAGCGAATTTTTGTCTCATTTACATCTTCTAGGTATTTTTCCAGGAAAAAAATGTTCAGGGCATCTTATGATTGAAATCTGTTGTAGAGATGCAGATTTATGTGATGGAAATCAAACGTGGTCAATGGCTATGTTAAATCGATCAGTCGTCTCCGACTTCAAAATCAGCGCCGATATCGATGCACAAGGGAAACTATTCTTCTTTGTTGGAGCTCCTTATAAGGTACCGTTCCACTGGACTACAATAGAATGAAACTTATTTGTGAGCTTCAGGAGCTTGTATGGTTTTCTGGTTCAAATCAAGAGCAAGCGTTTACTTTGCCAGTGGATCGACCAATTTTCGTGGTTCTTTGGTACAAAGGGAATAGTTCAGCTTTGAAAAACCGAAGAGGATTCAGTGTAGCGTACTCTACGAGAGGTTTGTTTCATCTATCCTATTTATTCGTGAATGCATCACTTGCAAACATTCTCCTCATCGCAGTCTTCCTTGTAAGCAGAGAACCTATTAGAACTAGTGAAACCTCTTCATCTAATCAGTAGTAATCGCTTAAACTATCTGTTGATTTCAGAATCAGTACAACAGTTCCCCACATTACCGACGGCGTCTTGCCACCCGCTGTGCCGAGAAACGACCAATCATTGGATCTTTGGCAGTTCTGTTCATTCTGATTATTGGTTCTTTGGCAGTTCTATTTATACTGATTATCTTTATCCCTCCAGTTGTCTGCGCAAGTATGACTCAGAAACTACGTCGCTACAGCCTTCATGAACCATCGCTCCACGTTTACAAGCGTTAGTTTAATTGGTATTTGTTTTTCTAATTCGCCTGTGAGCAATCGTCTTCGAAGGGGCGTCTAACTTGTTCTCTTCCAGGGAGGATTGCGGCGTCATGGCTCGATCAGGTACCACAGACTGTACGCAGATGAGTGAAGAAAAAGGAGCCGGACTAGCTCACAGAAGTGTTGGAGTTCAGCTAAGCGTTCAAAGTACACCCAGGTATTGCAAGTATATTCATAGCAAAAAGGTTTCCAG